AGTGGATCGGGGACTCATGAGGAGAGTGAGGGGGGCTTTGAGGGGATGGGGAGGGCAGGTGGGGTCGGGAGGGACTGTGGGGGGACAGGGGCAGCTGTTGGGGGACACCGGGACAGGAGGAAGGTGTGCCTGCCCTCCCTCACCTGCTCTGCTCTGCTCCGAGGGGCAGCAGAGATGGATTCCATGGACATCGAAGAGCTGGAGGTGGTGGAGGAGCTGGGAATCTCCCTGGAGGAGCTGCAGGAGATCATCGACAAGGAGGTGGAGAACTCCGAGTGGGTGAGGCAGCGAAAGCGGCAGCTGGAGGAGCTGGAGAAGTGCGTGAGGATCAAGGAGGAGGAGGCGGCTCACGTTGACCTGCTCATTGACGATGCCACGAGGTGAGTGGACCTGGAATTGGCCGGAATTCTGAGGAGGGAGGTGTTCCCGTTCCCTTTAGAGCAGGTTGAAGTCGCCTAGTTTGCACGTGGTTAATGAGGGACAGTGACAGCCACCCCCCAAAGCTTTAAATCCTTGGTGTGGACACTTCCCTCAGGTGTAATTGGGAGCTGCCCGTTCCTGGTCATCCCTGGGGTGTTCCAGGGTGTGCAGCCAGCTGCCCTCCCTCTCCTGCAGAGCCATCGACAAGTGCGAGACGCTGGCCAAGGAGTTGTACTCCATGATGGGCCTCCAGTACCGGGAGAGCAGCTCGGAGGACGAGGCCCCGGCGGCCACGGAGGTGATCGAGATCCCGGACGAGGATGACGACGTCATGAGCGTGGACTCGGGCTGGAAGCACAGTTCAGTAAATCCCAGTGTGCCCAGGACAGCAGAGGGAGCAGGATAAGGGACTGCTCTTTGCTCATGAGGAGCATCTGCCACAGTCCTGTTAATGTTCCCCGATCCCTGGAATCCCAAACTGGAATCTCACCCTTTCCCAATCTCCCTGACTGTTGTCCCCATCCAGCACTGCCTCCCATTAAAAAACATGAATGAGGAAAAGCCTTGTTTGAGTGGATTCCCTGACAGGGATTTGGGGTGGATGCTTTTCCCTGTCCCCTCATTTTCCTGTGGTTTAATCAGGATGGATTTTTTTTTTTTTTTCCTCCCCAAAAAATGTCTTAAACCACTTTTTCTTCTCCACTCACAGGCACCAGCAGCTCCAGAATCTCCAAAGATCAGAGTCTGGTGAGTGAGAAGGTCCTGACTACAGATGAGTCTTCAAGTGGGGGTTTTCCCGGGACACAGTGTTTGGTGCAAAACAAAAAAAGAGTTTCTCTCTTAACTTTCCTGTCTTTTTTCCCTTCCAGCTGCGGGAGGCAATGGCTGCCATGAGGAGATCTGCCCGGGATGTTGCGAAATTCATGGATGCTGTGAACAAGAAAACGAGCTCCCAGGAAGCACAAAAAGGTGTGGGACCTTCCAGGGGCCATCAGGCCCCTTTGTGTGCCCTGGCCCTGGGCCTTTGCTTCCCAAAAAAGGCAAACAACGATGCAGTTTGTTTGCTGGGGAGCTTCATCAGGATTTATTGACTCCAGATTCCCGTTTTCCTTTAATTTAGAGTATACTGATTCCAAACTCCTGTTTAAGTCCTTTCCGTGCGGTAGAACGGGGGCAGTTGGGCTGCCTGAGGGGAAGCAAAGCAGGAATTCCCGCTGCTGCAGCTCCGAGGGATGTGGTTCCAGCTGTAATTCCAGCAGGAAAGGGAGCTCTGAGTGATCCATAACTGATTGTTGTTCCCTGGCAGGGGCACAGCCTCCCCCGGAATGTCCTGGCACTGCCCAGCCCGCTGTCCCTGCGGCCCCCGGGGACGACCTCAACACTGACGGGGATCTCAAGGTGGGCATGAGGATTCTGGGCAAGAAAAGAACCAAGACGTGGCACAAAGGGACCTTGATTGCCATCCAGACAGTTGGTAGGTGCTGGCCACGAGGCTTCCCCTGGGCTTCGGGTGGGAGCCGTGCATTAGAAGGTGCCAGAGCACCTGGTGCCAAACCTGCAGGGGACAGTGGGAGCAACACACCTTACTGTTCCACCCTCCAAATCAATTCTGGACAGATTTTAAATGAACTCTGAGTTAGCTGTGAGCGAACAGGCTCAGAGCGACCCAGGGTGTCGTGTTTCTGGTAGGAAACCACTCGGCCTCTGTTTGCTTTCGCTTTCATTTATCTTGTTCTTGTCTCCAAACGCCTCCCCAGGTGCTGGCAAGAAATACAAAGTGAAATTCGACAACAAGGGCAAGAGTTTGCTCTCGGGCAACCACATTGCCTACGACTACCACCCGTGTCCTGAGAGGCACCACGTGGGCAGCAGGGTGGTGGCGAGGTACAAGGATGGCAATCAGATGTGGCTCTACGCTGGCATCGTGGCTGAGACCCCCAACGTCAAGAATAAAGACAGGTATTCCTTATTTCCCAGGGTCATGGACCCCCAGCTCTGGGTGGGGGGTTTTTTGTTTTGTTTTTGAGGCAAAAAAAAAGCTTATTTGGGTATCCTTGGGGTGCTGAATTTTGCCCTCCCCAGGAAGGAGTTCTGAGAGTTTCTTTCATGTTATCTCTGAAACCTCAGGGTGGAGCTTCCAACTCTCTTGCTCGTGGCCCTGAGTCAGGAATTAGATCTGCTAATTTATTCAAATTATCACCCAGATGAGGAGTCTGGGCTGCCTGAGGTGTGAAACAGTGGGAGGAAACGGGAGCCCTGGCAGGGTTTAGTGCCAGCAGTGCTGTCAAAGCACTTTGGGAGGGGAAGGAGCAGGTTTGGAGCAGCTTTTTTTGGGAATAAGGGGCAGGGCTGCTCCGGGCTGGTCAAATCGCGGCTTGCGGTTTCCCTGAAGAGGCTGTTGAAGGGTTTAAGGACTCAGGGTCTGCCATGAACTGTGTTGAGCTGCACCTGATGCATGTTTAGTAACGGGAAACGAGCTGCATTTACGGCTCACGCTGCAGATTCGCTCCTGGCTGTGGTGCTGCTGCCTCACCTGCCCCTCGGGGTGCCGTACCCAGAGTTCAGGCTCCTCGCCCTGCCCTCCCCCAGGAGGAACAGGAGAGGTTCTCCCCTTCTCTCCTGTGATGTGGAGCTGTTTTCTGCTCAGCTCCCCTCCTGATTCCTGCCTGTTTTCCAGGTTCCTGATCTTCTTCGACGATGGTTACGCGTCGTACGTGAAGGAGTGGGAGCTGTACCCGGTCTGCCGGCCACGTGAGTGTCCCATCCCACCTGGGGAGGCTTGGGCTCAAAACCCAGGGGGCAGAGGGTGTGTCCCCTCCGGTGCTGTGCCTGGAGGCGTCTGCAATCCTG